GGACGCACCTGGACGCTGTAATCACTGAGTCTTAAGTCTTTCTGGATGCTCTGGAAGCGTCTGGATGCTGGTATTCGCTAGCCGCTGTGGATAGCCTGGATGTACAGGATTCCACGTAGATTCCGTCAACCCATTGCGAGTTCGTGGATGCCACGGATGTGTCTGGATGCACCTGGGCGATAGACCTCTGGTTGTATTGGATACCAAGCGGATGCAGGTGGAAGCACTGGATGAACGGGGAGCAGCGTGGATGCGTCTGGATTCGGTTCTAAAAGGGCATCCGTAGTCCGGATGCAATGGATATTGTTGGAGACATGGAAGGAGGGCAAACGGCCAAAATGGACGGAATGGATGCACTTCTGGATGCTCGCGGACATCCAGTCGTCCTCCAGCGGCCCATCAGGGTGACATCAGAACGACGCGCCTTGCGCCCCATCAACAAAGACCGTTTGTTTGCGCGCCGCTCAACCAATATCTGATCTTTTTCTGCGTCGTATATCAATGTCCGATCTGCATGTTTCCGCAGTCGGCAACGCAATTTTAATCTTAAGTGTCTACTCGCTTGGCAGTATAGAGAACGTAGTATGGTATGCTTCGCTGAGACTGATCAGCGTACGGCGCGAAGGCATACTACTTGGCACCAGTGGCTTCATACAACGGGGATTTCTCTGATAAAAAACAACATTCACATCGATAAAAATCAAGTAGAATTAAGGCAGAGCTGCTACCTGCCAAAGACTTTTCTGGTTTTTACATGCTAGCTTTGGAGTAAAGAGTATACTTTGCAACACTGTCACTGACTTCCGTCATTTCACGATAATAATCACTGTAAAAAAATGAAGTAAGGTTTATAGGAAAATTTTCCTTGACGCAAGTTGTAAAATTACAATTTGGAATCGTAAAAATACACGAAGTACGTATCGACTTGACATGCATTGGCGAGTAAAAAATGTGCTCTCGTAAATTCAAAGTTAACAATTTTTTTGTAAATTTACGACGATATGTTTCACAGTGATCTGTGAAACTTGTACAATTGAAAGTAACGAGTAATTATTATTCATCAGTAATTGTACGTTGCAAGCATTCTGTGCTTTATTCATTTATTTTATGTGATAAGTATTGATTATTATATTATTAGTAAGTACCTATTAGCCAGCCGCTAGCCTGCTCAAAAGCAGCTTCTCATGTAGTTGAGGGTGCGATAGCCCATTAATTTAGAGACTTCTCTTCTCTTCTCTTCTCTTCTCTTCTCTTCTCTTCTCTTCTCTTCTCTTCTCTTCTCTTCTCTCTCTCTCTCTCCTCTTTCTCTCCTCTCACGCACGTGCGCGGCACGGACACGGAATCCCCTCCGGGAGATCCCCCAGTAATGCGGTGATGTGCTCTGGCCCGGAGTCTCTCGGTACGTCAGACTCTGTCGTCAGACAGCGGGACGTTTGTTTGGCTCTCCTTCGGTGACGCTGCCCCGGCCACGCCGCGCGGACGTCACTCCGTTACACGCGAAGAGCGCCGCTGCTGTTTTTGTTGTGGATGTGGATCATGTCGTGGAAGTAAGCGGTGATTCACCTTGTATTTGTACTTTCGTCGGAACAAAGCTTTTCATTCATACAGAGAGTCGGTAGAAACCTCGGTAGAAACTCGATGTCTGAAGTCTAAAATCGGTCGGCCACCACTTTGTATTTCTTTTTATTTCCCCTTGGCTACTTAGGCCGCGTCCTTCTCCGGTATTTATTGTTTCGAGCAAGATTACGGACTCGCGGGCCACTCCATCAACACTTCTCCACTCCGGCTTCGCGAGGGCCAATTCTGTGTCAACCTTGGGCACGGCGTGGGGCGCCGGCTGCTACGAGGGTACAAGAGAGAGAGAGAGAGAGAGAGAGAGAGAGAGAGAGAGAGAGAGAGAGAGAGAGAGAGAGAGAGAGAGAGAGACAGAGAGAGAGAGAGCACAGGCAGCGGAGGGGAAGTTGCATTGAGGCCCTGCTGCCCTTGCTCGAAACAACTTTATCCGCTTGTTCAACATTTCGCGCGCCGGGTTCCGCCGCACACGCTGCAAAAGCCTCCGCTGGTGGCATTTCATTCATTTCGCACGGGAGTCCTTGGGAACACGGGCACCGCTGAAGTTGAAGGGCGACACAAATCGGAGAGAGAGAGAGAGTAGCGCACTGGGCGCACCCCCCGCGGGCCACGGCGTCCGGCACCGCGGCGACCCAACATCCCCTCGGGTGCACGGCAGCGGTACGCGGCACGCCGTTTCCCAAGATTTCAGACTAATAAATGCAGAGCAGAAAAGAAAGATGCGAAATGAAACACGAGAATGAAACATTATCCGATTGCCGGTGCGTAGAGCCTGGAGAGACGGGGTGGAGAGTCGCCTACGCACGCGCTTGGGGCGGGGAAAAGGGGGAGGGGGAGAGGGGGCGTAAAGGTAGAGTGGCGTGTGTTAGAACCATCTCTGACGCCGGACAGGCTGCGGCTCCTCGGCAGTGAGCTGTGGGAGCACCCCCGGGCTGCGCCATGGCTGCGCCTCGGCCCGGGCTGCGTGCGCGCGGCACTGCCGAGGCTTCCCCGCGACCCTCGCCAGGGCTATATCGGTATGAATGTCGCAGCCAGTAGTGTAGAGTAGTTGTAGCGGCGACCCCCTCCGCCGCGGGGCGGGGCGTGGCGGGGCGTGGTGGGGTTGTGGGGGCAGCAGCTAGCTCTCGACCACCACCCTCTGCCGTCCCCGGAACGTTTTTGACACCACTACCCACAGCAGCACTGGCCGGCCTGGCCTGGCCCCGGCAGCGCCACCCCCCTCTGTGTGGTGCACTGGGCCACTGTGTCGCCAGCTGCGCACGACATGCCCGTGGGGAGTTTAAAGCCATTACAGCGGGTGAACCGTTACACCGCCAGTCCATTGGCGCCGTGCCCAACACCCCTCTCTTGTTCCCGACTCGTTCCCCGGCCGCTCTGCCTGCAATGATCTTCGTAATGCTCCTGTAAACGACTGTACCGCCTCGGAAGACAATCGCTGCTTAAGGTGAGCTGAAGGACGGTCACCAGGAAACAGAGGCGCAAGTACTAGAACCAATAATCCGGATGACGATTTTCTTCTGTTTTTGCCCCAAACGTCCACGCGGCCTGCTCCGTACTACGACGCCACACTTCTCTAACAACAGTTTTTCCCAGGCGTTTCTTTGCTTTCCATCCTGTTGTTATCGTTCCCCCCTCGCGATGACGACATCTTTCTCTCTCGAACCTGGACGGTCGTCGCCGCCGCCGCTGCGCCTCCTCCTCCTTCCCCTTCCTCTACGATGATTCGATCTAATAAAGTGTCAGCGGAGACTATTGGGACCCTCTTGCGCTCCGCCTGCCCAGCCCCGCCGCGACCCGCTCCGCCCCGCCCCGCCCCGCCACGCCCCGCCGCTGTCCTCTCCCTCTCTCCCTCTCCAGCGCTGGCTCGCGCTGCCCCCTCTCCGGCCGTGCCGTCCGCCCGCTCGCCCGGCTCTTTCCGACTTGATAAATATTAGCGCCTGCACATAGAGCCTTCCACTTTGTCTTGCCCCGAGGAGCCAGGAGGCTCGTGCCGTATCGTGTCGTGCCGTGACGCGCCGTGCCGTGCCGTGCCGTGTCTTGTCTTGTTCCGTTCGCGTCTTGCCGAGGATCGCGCGGCGTCGCGCCGCGTTGCGCCGTGCCGCCGGGTGCCAAGCCGTGTGCGAACGATCACATTCAGCGGAAGTTTCAAGCTAGTTTTGAGTGAAAGTGAATCTGTCTACGAACATTTATTATTATCAGAGGTGAGCACCAGTTCTGACCTCTCCTTGTCTAAGGATCAGAATAATGCATGATGAGGTTTAGGAATGTCTCAATATCCTGTGTATTTTCTGTTTTATGTAAAACACCATTGAAAAGAAAGGGTATCCTTTCAAGATTTGAATGTAATGTAGGGTAAAATATTGTTTTGTTCTATTATTGGCATTTTAAAAAGTAGCAAAAAAACGCCGTGCAAAAACATTTGAAAAAAAAAATGTTTGACGTTCTGTCCAAGTTTTTTCCCCCTCTAAGAAGGGCTCGGTAGGGCGAATCGTGTTGTGAATTGAGAAGGCGCTGAGCGTATAGCAAAGCAGGCGTCACTGCGCCACGCCACCGCCTGTGCGTAGTTATCGAGCCCGGGGGAAAAATAGGGCTTCTGCCAAAAGAAAAGACGGCGAAGGAAACTTGAATGTTGACGACGCCACAATGAGGGACCTGGCCTGGCTAGCGGCGGCACCTCCAGCCAGCGACCCACCCGCATCTCGGCAATGCCGGCCCATACCGGTCCCCACCTCAGTTGCCAGCACCTCGGCCTAGCCGGGGAATCCCTATGAACTTTCGTCTTCGCCGTACTTGCATCGTTTTTGATTTTACCACGTCAATAGAGCAATACATTCGTTTGTGTGCGTCTTCTCTGGCTCGTGTCTGCTCTGGCATTCGGTACTCGCTCTTGTTTTCAAAACCAGTTGGGTCAACGCTACCTTCACTAGTACCGTTGCATGCATCTTACGCTGACAAAAACATCACTCGGGCAATATTAACGACGAGCACCTGCAATCAGTGCATACAAAACTCCTGTAACACACTGTGCAGAATTTGATTCACAAATATTCAAGGAAGTGCCATGGGTTCTGCCGGGACGACCCTGTGCTCGCTCGTCGACAAAAACCGACCGCCCCAAGTTCGGTTCAGCTCGGGCCGGCCCGACCAGACCCGGCTCGCTCCGCGGCGTAACAGCGAAGGTCAATGCCATGGTGGCTGTTTAGGTATTGGGAACTGGAACCTGGCGAGCGGGCAAAGGGAAGGGGAAGCTAAAGATGATTGGGGGGATTTAGGGGGG